GTGCTGGAACCAGCTGAGCTTCTCTGCCTTAGGAGTGTGGGATGGCGGGGGGGGGGTGTGTGCTTCTGGCACCCATGTGGCTCACCTTCTCTGCCTTAGGAGTGTGGGATGGCGGCAGGGGAGCTTCCCTCCAGGTGCTGGGACCTGCTCACCCTCTTTGCCCTAGGAGTGTGAGATGGCAGTGGGGGGAGCTTCCTTCTGGGTGCTAGGACTGGCTCACCCTCTCTGCCCCAGGAGCCCAGGATGGCAGTGTGAGAGCCTCCCTCTGGGTGCAGGGACCAGCCAACCCTCCCTGCCCCAGGAGCATCTTGTTTTTATTTTTAAATTACAGCCTGTGGTCTTATGATAAATTGCATAACAAAAAAGGATTCTCGTTTTACTTCTGGGTTCCTAAAGCAAGAAAGTTAGTGGAACTAAAAGTGAAAATGGAACCCAGCCAAATCTGATCCTAAAAAGGTGAAAAACAGCATATCATTTTACCAGCTACATTCATCCTCATGAAATCCCAAATTGTAAAAATGGTCAGCACTGAGGCCAAGAAGGGCAGGAGCAGTTAATGTCATTCTTCTGTTTACTATACTGTGTACAGTAGCCTTTTATTTTATTTTGTTTCTAGAGTTAGAGCACTTATTGTGGTAGTATAGAGTTGAGGAAAGCTTTGAGATATAAAAACTATTTATAGATGAAGATAGCTCTCAAGAGCCAGTCTTCCCAGTTTCCCCTTTACTTATTTTTAGTTTGTAATATTTACCTAATTTCTAGGTCATGTGTTGTTATTATGCTCTAATAATCATTAAAATGATCTAGTAATCATTTGTCCAGGATTATTTCCTGAGGTCCTGTATGTTTTGCTGGGCCATGTCTTATTGAGTGAAGTCTTTGCTACCTTTCTTCATCTAGACAACTTTTGGGGATTATCATTCACAGTCGGGGTTTGGACTTTATGAGTGTAAGCAGTGTAGTCAACCATGTACAGAAATGACTGAGAGAAAGGCTTAGACTAAGAAGGAATTGAGTATATGAAATGAAAGAGCAGAAAGTCAAACTTAGACAGTAAGTTCTTTTGGAATGTCTTGGAAAGTAACTTGTGAAGAAATACTTCATTTAAGGATTATATAATTCCTTTAATTTATGTAAAAATTCTCTGATACAGACTCCTATTTCATTTTGGGGGGTCTTTAATTTATGTAACAAATAAGACCAAATTGAAAATCAAATCATATTTCAGCCACAACCTTCCCTATAATATGCCAAGTCCATTTGGCAGACCATCTGTGTGTGTGTGTGTGTGTGTGTGTGTGTGTGTGTTTTCTCCAGCAAAACAAAAACAAATGATTTCTTCCAAGGCATATCATAACCAGGAGAGCAGATGGTAACTCTGAGTTTTTTCAAAATGTTAAATCAAATTCTTCATTAATTTTCATCCAAAGTTCCTGTATCCAGTTACATTTGGAGCTGCATGCCCTAGGGTCATTGGAAATAATCACACCTCCAACTCTTTCCTCTGTTTTAAAAACAGTCCAGAGTGGCTCAAATTTCAATAAATCTGACCTTTAATAAGAATGGCCCAGAGAGCTCATGACACTGCCCTTCGTAGACCCTCATTCAAGCTTTCAAGTTCAGTGGATTTAGGTGAAGCTTAGTGATTCACATTTCTAATAAGCTCCCAGTTACATCCAGTTCTGGCAGTTTAGAGCTGAGGTGTTATAGCACTGGATAGCTGTACTGGAAGCAACTGGCCTGTAGTGTAAGGAAAGATGATAACAACACTGTTGGATCTGCTAGATCTGTATGGTAGATGGGTGGGGATACAATGAGCTAATCTTTAAAGACATCTCTAGAACAAAACTTCTCCTCTTTCACAGAAGCAAATCCAGAGAAATTCAATAGTCGTTTTCGAAATAAAATGTTCTATGCTGGGGTAAGTACATATATTTTGTTTTATAATTATTATATGTTATTTAGTACCAATTCCATGAGTAATTGATACTGTAAATAAAAATAGTAACATACACCACACATTTATATTTATGTTTAAATGTTGTTTAATGTCTTCATTTAAGAATAAAAATAATGTGTTTTAAATTAGTAGTTAGAAAGGGAGTTGATGTTTATCATCTTTGAATTTTAAAGCCCAGATTCCACGTTTTACAAGAGTAATGACATTCCAAAAATGTTGTGAAAAAAAAAATCAAAGCCAGTGTGGGGGGTGGGGACATTGGGTAGACTGAAAAAACATATGGACAGTGTTAGATTAGAATGTAGTTCTCACCAGAGCATATCCAAATTGACATTCAGATGGGAAACTGGCAGAACATGGGAAATTTTTCATGGAAGGACGAATGAGATGGAAGAGAGCATCTTTTTTTCTTCCTCAGAGACATCTCTACTGGCAGATATGGGTGAAAAAGGCTTTAAGTATTGATTAAAAGTATAATTTAATTCCATCCCTGGTACCAAAAAAAGTACAATTTAAATTAATGCCAAAGGTTAGATGGAGAAAAATAAAACGACATAAAGCAGGACAATTTTAGTGGAAAGTTAAGGACTGTTTTAGCACCTAATGGGCATAGAAAGTGACCATCAGAATGAATTGTCAGACTGATCCTTGGGATTATCCACATCTGCACTCTTTTTCTGTAATCTTAAATTTTGCTGTCCATTATAATTTGAAAACAAAGAAATAGTTCCATTTTGACAGCCACTGCCCTGCCTTATTTTGGATTCAGAAAATGGAACACTTGATTGTACATTTTTACAAAACTTAGAACTAGCTGTAATTTGGAAGCAAGGATTTGGTAAACCCATGTAATTCGGAATGTCTTTTCTCTTATTTCCTGTGGTATAGGCAGCTTTTTCTGATTTCCTACAGAGAAGTTCTAGAGATCTAGCCAAACATGTTAAAGTTGTTGTAAGTATTGGACATAATTCATTTCATTTGCATGTAAATATTAATATCACAAAAATAAGCTCCCAGGTACTAATATATATATAGATTAATCACTGGGCTACCTATGGTTTAGAGGACATTTAGTATGATTCATTCAACCAATATTCCTGAGTATTTGTCATGTTGCCACTGTCTTGGCTGTATATAAAATTACATAGAAAGACTAGTTTTACTGCTGAAGAAACTCACTGTCCAGTCATATAAATGTAAAATGTGTGTATGTGTATATTAGACCAAGAAAATGCAAAACAATATAAAAATCCTGCATATAGTACTCTTTGCTTTACTCTTTGTATTTTTCTTGTTATTTGATTTATCAATAGTGAGTTTATGCACAGGAATGTGTTTTGCATACAAATGTTTTACTTTGTGTGTGATTGAAGGGAACAACATTGAAAACTGCTACTCTAAAGAATAGTGCAGTTTAATGCAATATTAGTTTTTAAAAACTTTGTAAAGCACTATGTATTGTAAGGTGCATATCTTTATATTATTTGGTGAGTTCCCAGAATCACTGATTTATTTCTCAGGAGGAAAGAATAGAAAATTTAAAAAATGAATTTTATTCTAAATAGTCATTTTTTATTATGGCATTTTTCTGTAATGCAACAACATTGCTTGCAATTATTGTATCATATTCTAGCTTTTTGAGATTGTAGTTGCTTCCAACCCTCAACTTTAATCATTTAAAATGTCTAAATGTTTGCTTCATTGGTATAGTCATTGACGAAGTCATTTCAAGTCCTTAAATAAATTGGAACATTTTATGTTTTCTTGGTAGTTGATAGTATCTGAAAATACCTTCAATGACTATCTGGAATTTGACTCCTTTCTATCTTATATTGGAAAATACTTTATTTAGAGCTGTAAGATTTTCTGGAAACAATTTTTGAGGATGCTCATGAAAAATAGACTGTACTAAGATTATCTGAGAAAAGAGTGTGGGGTACCTAGAAACAACCTTAACTTTCACAGTCATTTATACTTAGATTGAAACTCCAGCTAAAGACATGTTTAGAAATTTGTAGGGAGTTAGGGGAATGTTTTACTCCCTTTTCCAAAGGAAAAGTAACGAAGAACTTCTGGGACCATGGTGTGAGAAAGCAGATGGAAAAGCAGGCTTTGTACCTTTGAGATTGAGATGACCATAGTCTGGCTAGAGTTTTCCTCTTTTGACATTTGGTGCCAGTGGGAAAGGAGAAAGGGAATAGAAGGCTTTTCTTTGATGAGTCAGAGGATGCCACTGTTGGGAAAGCACTCATTGGTCCAGGAAGTTGCAACCAAAGATACTGAGCCCATACTGGCAGGGGCCTTTCAGACCGGGGTCATGTCCAAACTCCAGGAAAACAGTTTCATCTCAGAAGTCCAATCCAAGTCTGTAAAAGCTTAAGTTTCTAAGAACACATCACTTGCTGTTGTCTTGTGTTTTCTTGGTCTATACTTACACACACATTTTACATTTATGAGACATCATTAACTACTTACGTATAAAGCATCAACATCACTCTGTGGGAAAAATAAGATTGTTAAGATGATACTATTTTCTAATAAATACCTTTTCTAAAACTGCCTGTACATATACTGTTTAGAAAGTATTCAAAACATTATGATTAATATTTCAAAATAAAATTTATTTCAAAGAAGCAAAGAAAACTTCATGACTTGTTTAAATTAGACAGTTGTGATGGCAAATGCTACTGAAGCTTCATTCTTTTAAGTGTGTTTTAGTATTACTATGATACATCTAAATACCTAATAATAATACAAGGTTAAAAATGATAGTATTTCCGGGCTGGGGATTTAGCTCAGTGGTTTCGCCGCCTGCTGCACAAGCGCAAGGACCTGAGTTCGATCCCCGGTACCAAAAAAAAAAAAAAAAAAAAAAAAAATGGTAGTATTTCCTTTGATTGCCAGAACAGAGCAAAAATTGTTTAAGTTAAGGCATTGAGAGCTGGGTCTAGTTCAGGTATCAGCATGCTTGCAGTCATGTGAACTGGCACTCGCCGAAGCAGATTAAAGGAGCACATGGAAGGAGGGCACAGTGTATTCTATTGTCTAACCTGGCTGTCTTTGATTACTGATTAAGACTTGTGACTACCTCAGAAATCCTGCCTTTCTGCTCTCATTGTTGCAGTGTGATGGAACAGATCTCACCCCAAAGATTCAGGAACTGAAGTTCCAGTGTATAGTATTTTTAAATATACCCAGGTAAGCTCTGTTCATATTGTTCCTGTGGTTTGATGTGAACTCTGACTTGAGCTTATCTGCTTTCCAAACAGCAATGTTTCAGGTGTAACCAATGAAAATCATTTCTCTTCGTGGCTTGGTAGAGGTGTTCAGTTCTGAATGTTTCTTCTCCTCCTTGGTTTATTGAGTGCTCACTGTTGTCGGCAATTCTGTGTGTGGTATGTAGTTCATGCTGTGGACTCACCCAGCCTTAAGAAACCCATTCTCCTCTCTCGATAGGAATATTTTCATTTAGTTCTCAATATCTGCCCTTCTTCACCTCACTCCTCTGCCTCCAAGAATGATAGATATGGATAAGTAAATGCCTATTAGCAGTTTCTCCAAAGCTGTTAGAAAACCATCTTGCCCTTTGGATCTCATTGGCAGATGATTGCTTTGAAAAAAATAGAATCAATTAGATCAGCATATTGTAGCCAGGATATCAACTCTTTTTAGTACTATTATATTTTTCAGGATAAAGGAATGTTAAGATTAACTACTCTCAAAATAAGCATATTACTTTGGTGGCATAAAACTAGATTCTAGACAGGGAAGCCAAGCTTTTGGAAGGAATGGATCTATATAATCCTTGTTACTTACCCAATAAACAATGTAGACACAAAATATGCAAATAAACTCTTCTTAAACTGAGTTTCATCGAAGTAAAGAGTCCTGTGTAAATTTATGTATAGGAGAACATATCATAGCCTCCCGAGTACTCTTGGCATGGCTCAGTATAGTCAGTTAGAGTGTTATTCCAGAGTTATTTTCAGTTTAGTTTCAGTGGATGGCCTAGATTCACACAAAACATTGGCATTTAGGGTTTTTACTTTTTTTTCTTTCTCTTCTCCCTTTTCTTTTTCTTTTTCTTATTTCCCCCTCCTTCCTTTTGTATTCTCCTCCCTCTACTTTTCTGATTTCCATTAAATACCCTTCCTTTTATCATTTCCTATCCTTTCCACCCCTTCTTCACTCCTTTCTTCTTCCTTTTACCTGTCCTATGGATACTTGCCTTAGTTGTGTGTATGGTAGTAAATGTTACCCATCTGGTTTATCTCTTTCACACTAGCATGAATGTGTCTTTCTTACAGATGGAATTTTGATGCCATCTATATCATAGAAGACAGGCATAAGTGAATTCTACAGTGAAAAATATTGACAAATAATGAATTAGGGGAAATTTGGTACCACAGGATGGTTTTCCCATTTTCACAGGTTGATATTTTGGAAAGGAAAAGTTCATTTTCTTTTCTGTTGAAAAGCATATATCAAAAGCAGAAAATAATTCTTGTATTTAATAAACACCAGGTCTAACTATGAATTATTTTTCTTTAAATTTATTTTTAAGCTGATAAAATCATTAAAACTGTCGTAAGTATGGGATACCATATGAGGTTTTGACACAGATATAAATTTACTTAAGTATCAGTTGATTCCTAATGATAATCATGAGAAGAATGGAGTCTGTTTCCTTGTATTTTTAACTTTGCCTTGCAGATATTGTGCTGGCACAATGCCATGGGGAAACCCGGGAGATCACCATGACTTTGAACCTCAGCGTCATGATGATGGCTACATTGAAGTCATTGGATTCACGATGGCCTCTCTGGTAAGAAGTATTACTATTCATTAAAAACAAAATATGTATGTGAGTCACAATTAGAGTTTACTCCAGCAGATTTTGGTATAAGTTTTTTCTCCTGCTTTATCAATTTATAAACTTTATACAGGTAGAGTTTCTGTGGGAAAACATGAACAAAGTCATCCTGTCACTGTGAAAACTGATGTATTTGTTTGAACTTCAAAAATAAATGAGTAGGGCCTGGGATTTAGCTCAGTGGTTTTGCTGCCTGCTTCACAAGTGCAAGGACCCAAGTTCGATCCCCGGTACCAAAAAAAAAATAAAAAATTAAAAAAATAAAAAACTAAATGAGTAGCATTTGAAAATTTTCCTGATTAATTTTCTACCAAAATAAAAAGTTTTCATGCTAATTTAAAAAAAGCATGATGCCACAGATACAACAGCATTTGATACTTTTTTGGTTTACTGCGATCTTGAATGCAGTAATTAGGTAAAAATAAAATTGGTTAACTGCATTCAACTTCATCTTGCTTCCTTATGATGGAGATAATATCCATTATCATAAAATATCCATATATAGAAACATTATTGTAACCTTACTGAACATTTAGTTACCAGTATTGGGAATACCATGTATTTTAATTTTATTTTCTTATATCAAAATAAATTTATAATATAAATGTATTTTCAAGCAGGTTTTAGCCATGCATTCCCACTTATTATTAAGTGAGGAGGGGACTAATTCAAAAGTATACTTTTTATTTTATCTTATATAAATCAGGTAACAGTATCAGTTAGTAAAGCAAATCAATACAGAGCTTATTAGTAATCCTTGGTTAGCACTTGCTTTGTACTATATGCATTACAGCAAAAACAAAAGTATTCGAAATAAATCCAAATAGGTCTCATTTTACTCATCTGGTCAATTACAAATGACTCTTCCCCAATCACCTCAAATTAGTAAAGTTTAGTAGAATAACCCAAGATGATTGTGGCAGGAATCTCTGTCACTTGAATTGGTGATGTTCCTTGTTAAATTTACTACCATCCCTAGGATGAAGTGGTTGTTGGGAGTGGAAGACTGGAATTGACTTACTCTCTGGAATTGACTTACTCTCAGTGTCGGAGCTCATATACTGCTCTTGCTCTTTATGCACATGGCAGGGAAGACAGCAAAGAGCCAACAGGATTAAGTTCAGAAATGATGTGTAGAAGGAAGAATTATTAAACTGACAAAACCATGCTAGTATATAATAGAAAAGCCCCAAAAGTGTCCTTGCGTGTTTTATTCATGCATTTATTCCAGCACACATTGCTTGAGTGGTTATGATCTACCAAGGCTCCCTAGTCCCGGCTGTGTGGCAGAAGGCTGTCAGGAATTGTCTCAGGGATGATGATCCCTTTTGTGGAACTGGAAGCCAAGGGAAAATCAGACACTTGCCATTTGCTTGCTCTTAGAATCAAAATCCTTATTTGGCCTATAAAATCAATTTCTCTCTGGTTCTCCAGCCTTTCCCACTTGCATTTTTGCTTTCTTGCTCAAGTAGCTCACAATCAAGCATAGCTTTGATCATCCTTTGCTTATACTCCAGTGCCACTGCACATGCTTTCTGTTTTCAACTTTTCATTTTCTCTGACTTCTTGGTCTGTCTATATCTAGGTCAAGTTCGTTGTCTAGTCTTTTTTGGTTAAGGTGGTCTTGTCAACAAGTGTATAAATAATATCTGAAAAGGACAGAGGGGGCAGACAGGAATAGAAAACAAAAGGGACTTTAATGGAGGAACTCCTACACGGTATACTAGGTTTATAAGAAACAGCAATTCCTGAGCTGTTGATGCAAGGACAAAGAAGTGGTCACCTATAACAGAAAGGCAACTTCTCAGAAAGTGCCATCCAGTAGGAGTAATATCTGCTGAGAGGAAACTCCCATTCTATGCTAACCAGGCAGGACGAGAACAAGGATATAAATACAGTCTCCTTACCCTCCAGATCTTCTGCTGCTGTCTGCCTCTGGAGAAGTCTTACCGAGAGTCACCGATGCAGTCCAAGCAAGTCTGCCTTGTAGGGAAGAAAGTGGATGAGGGAGGGTTGGAAGGACCATGGGGAATGGCAAATGGTGAACATCATCAACTGGGACAGAGCAGGGAGCCTGAGGTGTACAGTGGGCAGTTCATAAATACGACAGACTAAATCAATTTTGCCAGAAGAGTGAGACATGACGTTCTGGAAAAAATGGAGCCTTACAACTTGTAAATACTCTGTGAAATCTCAGCCCTCTGTGGGAACCATGTCCTGTGTAGTTTTATGCAGGATAGATGTAGGTGAAAAGTAGGTTTGTTCCAGGTGGTGCTGAGTTACTGGGTAAGGGCCAGACTGTAGGCTGCATTGTAGAATTTATCTGGAGATTTTACTTTATTTAGTACAAAAGAGTTAGCACAATGTTTCTTAAGTAAATATTTTTATTGAGATTTTAATATAAAATTAGACAAAATAGTATAATGAGCCTACAAGTATCATTACTATCAAAATGATTCTCATGAAAAAAACCTTATATTTGTCCCTACCTGTGACATCTTTTCTTATTTCATTGTGGAGCAAATCCAAAACATTATTTTACTTTACTCATAAAATTTTTTTTCTTTCTTTGCTTTTTTTTGGTGTTGGGGATCGAACTCAGAACCTTGCCCTTGCGGGGCAGGCACAGTGCCACTGAGCCAAATCCCTGGCCCTACCCATAAATATTTTTGAGTGTGTATTTAAGGAATACTTTCTTTTATATTTTCAAAATAATGAGTTGGTTCACTAGCATTCTTTGATGATAACTGGTTTTAAAATGGCCTTCATATATTGGAAACTTATCAAGGATTTAGGTGTATGGCTCTTCTTCTTGAGTCTGGTTGGAAAAAATCAAGATCAATGGAAGTAATACTATGGAGCCTGTGGGCTAGGTCATAAAAGGCCATGCAGTGTATGGGAAACTTGGGCAACAGTGATGGTCTCTAATGAACAGGAATTTTGAAAATTCAAAGAAATGCTTCCATGTCTCTGCTTTCTTTCATTCATTGTCAGTTATAAATATTTATTGAGTCCACAAATACTTGCTGAATCCATAAATGACATGCTTCTAGGTTAAAAAAAAAAGTAGCCAAAAGAAAAGTCCTGTTCTCAGAGTGCTCCCAACCTGGAGTTGAGGGGCAGACATCAAGAAGTAAAGAGGCCCTCACAGTAAAGAAGCTGAGATAGTAAATTCTAGGACAAAGGTATGTGTGAGAATAGGAAGGAGAACTGAGAGCAGAAGAATGCTTATGAAATGGGCAATCAGCAAAGATTGCTGAAGAAGCAGGAGTCTGGAGGAGTGAAGTGGCCCAGTGGTCATTCCCATCAGAGGAACAGGCTTCGAGTGTATCTGTTAGGAGACCTGCTAGTGGTGGCTCTGAGTGATCATTTGTGCAGGGAATAAAGGCACATGTGGAGAAAAGGCAGAAAGAAACCCCTTTAAAACTACTGATGAGGCGGTTGCAGATGGTGGGGATCTGTGATCAGACTCATGTTTAGCAAGATTGCCTACATGTCTGTGTCAGAATCTCAGAAGGATGCTAGACAAATCAACATGGTACTGGTGTCCGCGTGAAAAAATGAGAAGACTCGGAATCTCAAAGAAGGAGGAGACTGGTGAATTCAAGAAAGATATTGGGACATAGCTACTCACTGTGAGGGGAAAGGAGAAGAAGAGTAAACAATCTTGGGAGGCGAGGGATGGATGCATTAAACGATTTAAAAAAATGTAAAAGATAATAGCGCCAAAGAAATGAACTCTGTTTTATGTATCTTAAACTTGATATCTCTGTAAGCCATCTGAGGAAAAGTAGAAATGGGGAATTTGAATACATGTTTAGAGCTCAGGAGGTGTATCTAGTTTGGGGAGATAGTTCTGAGAGGCCTATTAAATCCTTCTCTGGCTCATTCTATCATTAGTAGGAAAAAGAGAAATAATAGTGAATGGGAGTTGGTGATAAAATGGAATACCAAAATTATACCAATTATATTTTTCTCTTTGCATAATATGAATAATATAACATGTGCACATGAGGTAAAATTAAATGTATGATAGAATCTCAAATTTTAATGACTCCAGATTGCTTTCATGATAGAAAATCCTGTCTCAGAAAATCAGACTTCAATGTAATTTAAGCTGCATAATTTTGAATAGCTTATGGTCTTTAAATAATAATAGTATATATTTTTAAATTTTCATATGTATCTAACTTTCTTACTCAGATTGTAGTATGGCTATGCATTTTTTAGAATGAAAGAATCTTATTTTTGCTCCTTTAATTTTACATTTCTTGAAACTATTATGTTTCTAAGAAGGTAAATTATGTGAAAATCAAGCATCTGCTTAAGATGATTATCTAAACAGAAGGATATAGTTACTGGAGTGTGTATGTTTTTCTGAATTAAAAATAGCTGCCATATAATTTAAAAACATAAGTAGTAGGTCAAGCCTTCTAGAAACAAATTATTTTTCTTAGAAATTGACATGTCTGAAATAATTAAAGACTATACAGTTTTAAGTTCATGGAATAAGCTAATAAAAATGTTTGTACATTGCTTATAATTTAAGTAAAATGCAAAGAACAGAAAATCCATAGTGGCTCTTAGAGAGGGATTTTAAATAGAATTACTGAAATAGGAAAAAAGGCTATTTCTGTTAGACAGTTTATCTTGTAATTGCAAACTTCAAAGCAGACGTCTTCATTATATCGGCTGAAATGCATTCCACCTAATTAAGATGATTCTTCACTGTGTGCGGGGTGCCCTGATTACCTTTTTGGATTTTACACAGGCCATAATCAGGCACTGTAATTTGTATTTATTTCTGCCTCAATTTTCTGCCATTATAGTTGTGAAGGTTCTTTCATGTTGAGTCTGTTTCTAAGTAATTTAAAACTTTTCAAGAAAGTTCAAAGCATTATTCAGATTGAGGAAGTGGGAGCCTAATTTCCTATTCAGAATGAAATCCAAGG